AGCCCCTAAGTGGCATTTTGAGGTGGCAAACAGGGGTCTCCTTCGATAGCAGCTGAGGCAACATCAGGACTGAAGCAGCCTGCTTGCTCACTGGGTTTAACTTTACCAGTCATGGGGAAACAACCAGTGGCTTGGCTACATTAGATTAGGCCCCCGAAAGGTTGTTGCTGTGAGGGGGTCAAAGGATCATAAGTGACACAGGACTGTCTCCTTTAATGGCTATGGGTAGAGGTCTATCTAGGAAGCCTGATCAACACAGTAACAGATATTTGTTGCATAGACATCAAATGTTTGATGGCTTTCAGATTTTGCAAAATTATTAAGTTCTAACAAACGCCTCATTTTGAGAGACAACACAACACTGAAGCTTCATATAAAGACAAAAAATTAAGTGACCCTTATTTAATCATCTTGGCAAAGTTGCGTTTCAGTCATTTTCCCTAACAAGCAGAGTTTCACGGTCTGAGTTGTGAACAAGGCAGCACATGAATCCACTTCTTGTCATGCATGTTTCCACACTGTTTCCGTGTTTCCAAGGCCTCGCTGTCTTTGAAGGCTGCAGAGGGGAAATCCCGACTCTGCGTAGATTCTAATTTTCCACACTGAATATTTAATTTCATCTTTTTCTAATTACCTCCCAACATTTACTGATTCCTATTTGTCATGGTTGGAAATCAGCTTCCTATAAGGACTACAATGATTAATGAATGCTGGCTTCTCTTACTGTGGAATACTTTCAGGGAAGCCAGACACTCCAAGGGACAGTCGTGGATATGCTAGGGAACGCAACCTCTTGGGGAAAACGACCACACGGGTGTGTGTGTGTGTGTGTGTGTGTGTGTGTGTGTGTGTGTAAAATGCCACAATAATATACCAAGCCAGAAGTCAGCCTGAGATCGGTGGAGGGTGGGGGCAAGGCTTAGAAACCTCGTTGAGTCTTCAGGATGATGCCCAATTTGCATATGCAGATAATGTGGCCGAAGGTGGGGCACAGGGAACAGAAACCACCTGAGCTGAACTGATTTCCAGCCCCTAGCCATTGTCCCCAGGTTCCAACTTGTATGACTGTTCACCTCGTTCACCACGTGCCTGCTCGGTTACACACCCCTTTTCCATAATAAAAACTACTGGTGGTGGTGGATTTTCAGAGCTTTTGTGGGCACCGCTCCTACCTACTGTAGAGCTATCGGACAGCGCTATCCTCTACCGCTTCCTTTCTATTGTACATTTCAAAAAGGGATTTTTTTTCCCACTAATCATCACGAGCTAACAGGAAAATAATGTACACTGTAAAGGACTTCGGTCTTCCTAGGCCTTGAAAGGTTCAGATCAAGTTCCTCCTGCTCCAGTACTGGAAAGTTCCCAGAAGTTGTGCTGTTTCCGTCTGATCTTGAGGTGAAGTTGCCCGACCTCTTCACTTTTTAAACCTTGTCCACCATCTGCCTAAGTAGAGGTTTCTCTTTCTACCACTGCTACCAAGGCAGTTCACAGGGAGCCGTTTTGCATTTCAATATGGATCCCCAGGCTGCCTGACAAAGGTTTCCACCCCCTAGGAGAGCCTGGAATTGGGGGTGTCTCGGCTTCTTTTCTATTGCTGTTATAAAATACAGGACAAAAGCAACTGAGGGGAAACGAGTGGTATCAGGTTATATAGTCCAAATATGGGAAGTCGCAGCAACAGGTGTTCCAGATAGCTGACTTGACATCCAGATAAGGAGTCAAGGAGCAGAGAACCAAGGGATGTGTGTCCCTCCCCCCGTCCCCCTTTATCACTAACTGCAGGGCCCAGCCCTAGAAATGGTGCAGCCTACATCCTATGTCTTATCACCTATGACAACTATGTTTTCATGGGATTTCTGAGTGTGCAAACCAAATGGATCTCTGATTCTTGTGCCGTCTCTTGGGCTGTTTCCCTTCTGTTGGTTTGTCTCATCCAACTTCAGTGGGATAGTTTTTGTTTTATCTTGTTATATTAAAAAATAAAGGAATAAAAGAATGAAAACCTAGTGACCATGGTAAAGGCTAACAACAGAACTGTGGCTTATATCTGCTGGGAGAGGGAAAAATCAGTTTTCTTCAATGGAGCGACGCTGGGTGTATCAACTACTCCAGGGCAGATCTCGTGTTCACGAGTAGCTGACCGACATATAATGAACTCCACAGTTTTTTGTTTTGTTTTGTATGCGTAAGTGGTTACTGCTTGATGTTGTGCAGTTTATTTGTTTGTTTGTGGGGGGGGGTTGTTTTCTTGGTTTGGGAAGATTTTGTTGTTGTCCTGGGTTTTTGCTTATTTTTAAGAAAGAATTAAAATTGGGCGGGTAGGGAGAGAGAGGTGATCTGAGACGACTTGGGGGAGAAAAAATATGATCAAAATATATTTGAATTAAAAAATTGTTTTAAATAATAAAAATTAAAAAATAGTTAAGCCCTAAGATCAGCATGTCAGGTGTAGTTATGATTTATTGCTTATTGATGATGTAATATAGTTTGCTTTAGCTATCATTGCCCCATAGTTCTCATTTTAAATATGATAAGATTCTGAATATGACAGTCTTTATTTTTTTAAGATGTATTTATTTATTATGCATACAGTTCTGCCTGCATGTCCACCTGCACTCCAGGAGAGGGCACCAGATCTCATTGTAGATTGTTGTGAGCCACCATGTGGTTGCTGGAAATTGAACTCAGGACCTCTGGAAGAGCAGCCAGTGCTCTTAACCTCTGAGCCATCTCTCCAGTGACAGTCTTACAGTGAATAAATTTATTCACATAAAAATAAAATGTATATAAGGGATTCCAAATCCTGCCAAGTTTTAAGCAAAACTGGTTTTTGTTTGTTTGCTTTGAGACAGGGTCTCGAGTAGCCAAAGCTGGCCTGAAACTTGCTATGTAGACAGGAATGAGGATGAATTTCTAGTCCCCCTGCCTCCCACGTGCTGCAGTCATAGGCAGGTACCTTTCTTCTGGTCCAAAGGACAGTGTTAGATTAGAGAACTTAGCCGGCAAAATGAACTAAGGTTTTTGTGGAGAGACGGCATGACCTTCAGAGCAACTTCACCTGTACTCAGGGTCATCGGTACTGTTTCCAGGTGAAAGGGAAGGCCAGTATAGAAAGACAGATGATAAGCAGAAAATGGTTCCACAAAAGACCAGCAGCTTGGGAAGAGGGGGTATAAAAGGCAACCGGAGAAAGTGTAATGGACAGGGGGAAAATCCTGTTGGGAACAGGACTGTGTTTAGTAGCACAACTGGAGCGAGCACACAAGAGGGTCAGGACATTCCCCAGAAAGAGTAGTCAGAAGCAAAGCGATGTGAAAGTTGAGATTTAAGAAATGTGAAGTGAAGGGCCTCTTGCAGGATCCCCAGAATCTGAACTTCCCTTGCAGAGTGGAGGGCCCTCAGTACAGTGCAGATGTGAGAGGCGTTCTCTAAGAGAAAGGTTCTTGGCTTTCACAGTCCTGATGGTGAAAGGAATGTAGGAGCCAGGCAGGTTCTGGATAGCATTAACATTTAGTGGAATAAAGTGCTTTCTTAGCTCTAACCAGCCATGCCTAGCAGTAGAAGTAAAAAAAAAAAAAAAACCAACCAAACAAACAAACAAACAAAAAAAGTGAGTCCAGGATAACCAAGCCTACACAGAGGAAACCCTATCTTGAAAAACAAAAAACAAACAAAAAAAAAAAAATCAAATTTTTGGTATGTTGACTATATATTTAAATTGTCTTATTTATAGATTTTTGCATTTTAACTTTTTCCGTTCTATAATCAAACACACAATGGCAAAAAAAAAAACATCAAGAACAAACTCAAGAAAAACTCAAAAGCAGCTAATTTTCCTAATGAGGAGCCATGAGGTATCTTTCCCTCCAACTTACTGCTTGCTGGCTCCATCCCAATCCTTAAATATTTATGTGATAACATTCACCTGTTTACCCATCCTCTTGACCACAGTCCAACCCTGCACAGGACTGTCAATTAAATTCAAGTTTACAGTAAGTACCAAGGAGACTGTTTTCCCCAAGCAAGCTGCCATCATAACATTTCTTAGGCTATATTTTATACAATAAACGCTAAGACATACCATCCAATTAAAATTGAGGATGTAAGTTAGATACATGGAGCTTGCACACACAATAATCTGCTTCTCACAACAAAGTATTTGTAATTTCAAAATTCCTACCAGCCCTTCCCACACACTATAACAAGAAAAAAAAAATATGGTCTCTTATTTTAAGGTGGAGTATTATAAAGATGATTTTTTTTTTTACTGAAGTGGCTAGTAGGAAAATAGCAAAGCCACCAAAGAAAGGGACGTGAAGATGTCAGTGGCTATATGCTAGAGTGGAATTATTTTTAAAATATGTTAAGAAGCAGTATCATGCGTAAAAGTTCCAGATTAATAGGTAGTGTCTAATTATGAACATCACTCATCAAAAATAATTAGCACAAGCAAACTAGCGCAAAATGATTTAAATGAAAGTAGAGCACTCATTGTGAAAGGTCAAGATTTTGGGTGAGTACTGATTCCATGTCCCAATTCATCATTTTTTTTTTATCAAAATTTGAAATAATCTGGAAAACTGTCAGCCAAAATCCATCATTTGTAATCTATTTTTCTTTTGCGAAATCATCAGGATGGTTTCTGGCACGTCTCCATCCCCTGACTTACTGGGAAGAGTAAAGAGCTTGCACCTGCCAAGCTTAGTGCAGAAAGCACACAAGACAAGAGGGAAGGGAAAGGAACGGAGAGACGAGATCTGCTGCTTTAGGGAGCAGAGAGCTCATTCTGTTGTGGGTTGTTCCTTTGGCACAATCCCACAGTTTCCTTACCAAAACACCGCGCACAAGAAATCCTGTTTCTCTTGGGAGGGGCTATAGGCTCGGAGAACCAAAAATCTGAGGAAATATCGACTCGGGGAAGGGGGACTGGTTGGAAGAATTCAAGTGACCCTGTGACGTCAGGAAGAAGCAGAGATGTAAGGAACGGAGCGGGAACTCACCGGGTTGCACAGATGTCAAAGGTCACAGCCTGCATAGCCTTGCGGGCTCCCCAGATGCAGGGAAAATGAACCGCCCACTCCTGAGCTCTCAATGTAAAACAGAAGTCCTGGGGCTCAGTTGTTTCTGCCTTTGACGCCGGGGACAAGCCCTACCATGCACGGTCTTGGCAAGGCTAAAAAGCAAGACCCGCCGGATCTCGAGAGCCCCGGCTCGGGAATCCCCTAATACTGCTCCCCTGCCCCCACCGCCCCCTCCCGCGCCGGAGGCCACAGACACCTTCGTCTTCACTCCCCACCTTCTCCCGGCCCTCTCACGCTTAACAGCATCGGTCTCCATGGCGACCTGAAACCGCAGCTCCCATTGGCTCGTTCAATATGAGGGCCGGGCCAATGGGAAGGGCCGGCTCCCTCCTTCCGCCCAATGGGGCGGGCGCCGAGCCTGTGCGGGGACGGCTGCGTGCTTACGTTCCCGGGTGCCGGGACTGGCCGGGCGGGCGGGCGGGCTGGCGGCGGGGCGGCGGCCTTGGAGCAGTCTAGGGGGCTCCAGGGCTGAGTGCGCGTGGACGCCGGCCGCGGCGGCGGCACGATGGGCACGGGGTAGAGGCGAGCCGCCGCCGCCACCGGGGTGGTGGGAGAGCCTCTCCGGGGGAGGGGGCGGGTGGGGAGGGAGGGGCGGGCAGCGGCGCGGCTGCCGCACTTCGGCCAGTTCGCTCCGGTGCCGCAGCGGCCACCCTTCGGCGCGGATGTCCCCGGTCCCCGGAGCGGCGACGGCCTCCGCCTGAGCTGGAAAGTAAGTGCTCGGGGGCCGGCGGGAGGGCGCGGGGGCTCCGGGCCGGGGCGCGAGCTGCCCGGAGCGCGCCGAGCCGGGACCTGGCGGCGGCCGGGCGCCCCCCGCGGCTCCCTGGCCCCCGGTCGCCGGGTCCCCGCCGCGTGCTCCGCCATCACCCCCCCCCCCCCCCCCCGCCTCCCCCCACCCCCCCCCACCCCGCGGCGCACAACTTTGCCCCGCACGGCTCGGCGCGGCCGCCTCCCCCCCCGCACCGCGCCACCGCTCCCCGAACTTGAGCCCCGCGGCTCCCGCGCGCCGTCCTGTCCGGGGCCGGCCGCCCCTCTGCAACCGCCCGCCGCCGCCTCCCACGGCCGGGGCCCCGCGTGTCGCCCGGGGTCCCCGGAGCCGCGCCGGTGCGCGTGGCTCCCGCCCGGCTGGGCCGGGCTCCCGGAGGCTGAGGCTCGCAGCAGCACACCGCACGCTCCTCCCTCGCAGGCTCCCCCAGCCCCGAGGCTCCGGGCCGCTCTCCCGCGCCACCCTGCCTCCCGGCGCTGCCAGGAGTTGGAGCGGAGCCGCGGCACCCCATCGGAGGATCGGGGTGGTCCCTGTCCCCCCCGCCCCCCCCGCCTTCACTCCTCGGGAGACCAGGGGAGGAGCGGCGGGGCCGGGCTCCGGCGGCGCGGTGACTGAGTGCGACACCCCGCGAGCGCAGGCAGCGGAGGCGCCGCGGTTGCTCGGGGCGCTGCGATAGGCAGGTGCGTGTGTCCAACGGGCGACGCGCTCTGCCAGCTCGTAGGCTGGCGACAGATTGTGCTGGAATGCAAGGAATGCACCAGGGGCAGAGTCCGCACGGGCCTCGGCCGCGCTAGCGCCTTCCCGGCCCTGGTCTCGCCAGAGGTCGCGGAGCATCTTCAGAGCTGGTGAGCCTCGTTCACGCTCCTGCCTCCGCTTCTCTCCCTGCGGCAGAGGGCGGTGGAGAGGGAAGCGCGGTAGTTTTCCTGGGGCTGCAGCCTATGGTTCTCTGGGGTTTTGCTGCATTGGTCTCCAGGACCGTGAATTTGGGTGTCAGTGTACCCAAGGTTATTGATCGTTGCACAGGGCTCTTGGCAAGTTTGCTTTTGCAAGGTTTGGATAGCGCATTTTTTTCTCTTTTTTTTTTTTTTTTTTTTTTTTAAACCAGGGTTTTCTGAATACCCGCAGAGAAAGAGGGCCGAATGTTCTTGAGTGATGAGCTTGCAGCCAACATATTTTAGCTGTATCAGAAAATGCTTTTTTAGTTCTCCAGGTCCGGGCTTTACTTCGGGAGCTCTTGATTCTCCCTCGTCATACTGGGCTGTGTTTAGGCCTCGTATAATACATAATGGATAGAAACAGAGCAGCAGTGTTTGGCCAGCGATGGGACAGATAGAACTGTCTGGCACAGTTAAATTCGGGGCGTGTGAGTTACCACTGCAAGGAACCCAGGGAGATCACAAGTCATGTATATTTCAAGATGTAATTTATTAGTGGAAAGCGCTATTTCTGTCTTCGTCACTGAGTTTTATTGAATAAAAAGCACAGTCCTACAACTTTTAAAGATTGGTAAATACGTATAAAATCAGTAATGGCTAGCATACTTTTTTTTTTTTTTTTTTTTTTTTTTTTAGTTAATTAATATAGAAAGGCAATGTTTTGACAGACTACCCCAGAGCCGGGGTTAGTTTTTGTTTTTTTGAGAAAGTAGAAGTATTCGTCTCTGTTTAGATGGAGTGTATTGCATGAAAGTATCGTCATTTCTGATACCTGAGAAACAGTTGAGGAAAATGGCAACGTGAAAGCAAGAACAATGTCTGGAGAAAGTGTTTCTGGCTGTTTCAAAGCACACGGTGTGTACTTTGATTCCACACTGTTTGCTTTGAAGGTTGTAGACACTATAAAACCTTCCTCACTGGGTTATTTTGTATCTGATTCAGTAAAATAAGTCAATTGTTCAACCAGCTACCTGTCCTCTGACCCCTACTTTGCATGCATCAAGGGCATTGAAAGTCTGCAGGCGTTTTAGTTAAGACTCAAGGGAGATGAAATGAAAGGTTGTGTCTTTTGGTTGCTACATTGTTTTTCAGGTATGTCTGTAATCAGTGAACCTTCTAATTGAGAGGTTTAATTCGCCTGCAGTAACAATGGGAGGATTTTGGGAGGGGTTTGTAAATGCCTACAGGAAACTTTTATTATGTAACAATACATTATAACAGTTTAACTCTTGCTCGTTTAATTTGTCTTGAAGATTAGAAAGTTAAAGCAGGAGGGGGTGGTAGTTCTGCTCAGGGTTGAGGCTTGCTTAGCATACGTGAAGCCCCAAGCCCATTCATTCCCTGCTGTTGCTCCCCAAAATGTAAAGGGGATTTAGTTTCTCTAATGCATCAGAAATGAAAAATTTTATTCAGATATACAGCGTGCACATGAGCATGACTGAGCAGATAGGTTTCACCTGCTTCAGGTTAAAAAAAAAAAAGCATGCTTTTAACTGGAAATACATCCCGGTTTATTGGAAGGCTTAAAGAGAGGAGGCTGATAATCTATAGCCATTGTGAATATCTGACTGTTTTGATCAAAGTGAACCTCCTCTTTATCTTATATAAGGAGAAGTTGCTGCATTTGGCATGTATATGCCATACGGAAGATCCTGAATTGGGAGGGATTAAGCATACTGCTGATCCTTACCTCTGTGGTTTTGGAGGGAGATAGGGTAGCAGGGAAATGATAGCAAGCCTGAAAGAAGCAAGCAGTTGCTATGAGCCAGAGAGAAAGTCATACACATTGTTGCTGCATAAATCAAGATAATCCTGTGACTCTGACATGACATAAATTTAAAGAACCCACTACCAATTTCAATGTAATAAAAAACTGAGTTATCATACAACCTTGAGTATTTAGATTGTCTGCATTAAATCATAATTGCAATTTTACTTCTTCTATGTAAAAATTGGCAAAACAAATTTAAAAAATTTAAACTACTTAAGTAGATTTTAAAAAATCTAGTTGTTGTCATCTTTTAATCTGGAAGCTTTTATTATCCAGAGACCTATTTAGATAGATTTTCATAGCTGGCATGATGCCAGCCACCTGGCAAACTGTGTCTCTTACCTGACTCCTTTCAAAATCAAGATATTTTGAGAATAGTCTATATTCTGATGTGTTTAATTTACTTTGGGAAGAAACTCCTTGCTTAAGTCTAAAATGGAAAACATTTTTTAATTAATAAAAAATAGAGCATGTTGTAGGGTTGTTGTAGAACATAAACATCCGTGAAGTTGCCTTCAGCGTTCTGGGGCAGTTCCTTTTGCCGTATGGAAACCAAGCTATAGCACCTGTCAGCACTGAAGGGGAAGATGCTTCTGAAACAGAATACCAGTGGACAAGATGTGTTTGGAGAATCGAGCAGCTGTTTCATGGGCAAACTTTAACCACAGATAGTTGTTCAAGAGAAAGGTAAAACTGCAAGGCGCATGGGTATCAAGCTTCACGTAGTGGCAAGAAGTGATGTGCTAGCTGTTGGCTGGTCGTCCATGCCAGGAATGAGACTCCGAGTAAGGGGATCAGGCCTGAAGGTGCCAACACCTACAGCTTATGGACGTGACGGTCTCACAGCCTGAAGTGCTTCTCACATTGCCGCTCAATAATTCAGTGGAATTATCTTAATGTTTTGGGGCTGTGTTGCAGTGACCAAATTGGGGCTGTGTTACATGAAGGTACTCCTCCGTTACAGATAGAACTGCTTCATATATTCACTGGCTAAATTACTTTTCTTTTTTTCTTTTCATCGCTTACATTTCCTTCTATCTGATATGCTAATGTTGGCTACACTGCTGATCATTTTATTATTCATAGCCTCGATAACATAGTTTATTATGTGACTCATAAATTCATGATGAATTGTCAATAGAGGTTGGATTATAACATTTTAATGGTATAAAATACATAAAATATGGAAGTCTCTGACCTCCTAGTCGAAGTCTCTGAACTGATAGTCACAGGAAGCCTTTTTCATGTGCTGAATAGTGCCTGGTTGGATAGGTGATAGCTGTTACGCAGATAGCTCTCACAGAGCTCACACCTGTTAGTGGGGTGTGTAAAGGGAAGGCAGAGGAACCAGCAAGCCCTTCTGTGACAGCCTCAGCGGGATTTCTGCAGGTAATATCTTAGGCTTTCTGTGGCTGCGATGAACCACCATGACCGAAAGCCAAGTTGAGGAGGAAAGGGTTTATTTGGCTTATACTTTCGTGTCCTTCATTGAAGGAAGTCAGGGCAGGAACTTAGAGGCAGGAGCTGATGCAAAGGCCTTGGAGAGGTGCTACTTAATGGCTTGCTTCCCCTGGCTTGCTCAGCCTGCTCGCTTATAGAACCGAGGACCACCAGCCCAAGAACAGAACTGCAGTGGGCTGCCTCCTACCCTCCACCCTCATCAATCACTAATTAAGAAAATGCCT